CATTCAATTTTGGAACTCATCTATTGATAGATTTGAAATAGAATGCTTCCTGTTGCATATTGTCTACTATTTATCAATAGATGTTCTACATGTATCAATGGATAGCCTCTGAAACATTATTTTCTAGGCAAATTTGTGTATCTTTTCCATCCTTAGGTCCCATTGCTTCTTGGGACTATCTCTATGGCTTATTTCATGTCTCTAAACACATTCTCATGCCAACATAAAGTATAACTCAATAACATTATTCAGATGGACTTAACATGCAACCTATCATAAAGATAACAATCATAATCATTCCATTAACATGAAACTCACACATTGTGATGGTACAACCTCAATCAACCTTGGGTTGGCAATGTACAACCCCATTACACCTTGGGCATCTATGATGTATCATAGGAGTGAAGCCGTCACTACACCTCGTGTGAGTGGAATCAAACGCACTTGTTAAAGTTCTATTCTCGTAGCATTTAGTATATGGAATGTCCATCACATACATGCTTACTCATCTAATAAGGTATATGGAAATTTACATCATATACACATTTCATGGCTTTTCCTCATTCTTACTCTTTCATCATATCGTATGTAAAGCATGCATTACGTACATAATCTCACAGCATTCATCATGTTTCCTCAAACATCTCATGTAGTATACAGAAAACACATCATATGCATAAATATAATATCTTACATTAAATTCATTATACAAGCCATCACACATTTCAAGCCTTAACATATCTAGCATACACTTCATACATTCATGCATTAATCATAAATCATATCTTGTACCCACACTAGTCCAAAGACTAGAGTAATTGAGTGGGCTAAAGCTTAAGGTGCTTGTCCCTTTTTGTTAGATACTAGTACGTAATATCATATTTAAATACATAGTAGGTTGAAAACAAATTTTAAAATATTTTCTCATTCACAAATAAATTTTCAATTCATAAATATTTGTAGAAAATCGTATTCACCAATAATCCTTAAATCATATTTCAACTTTATATATCAAAATAGTTTTGAAAGTGATGAATCCACTCACCTTATAGGAAGCTCAATTATAGCTTTGATTCCATGTAATCCGATGTGTTTTCAAGTGATCCTATTACTCAATATTCATAGCAATTAATTTATAAACTAATAAACTCAATATAGTTTATCTAACCAATTTCAAAATTTATTCACTTCTGACTATAGTCACTTTCTTTCTCTAGACTAAGCTAGAAATGTATAAATCCTCTAAACTTACTTTAGATAAGCTTATATGTTGAAAGAAATTAAAAAAAATCAGCTTTAATACTCAATAGAAATTTCTGGGCAAAAATCATAAATTTCCAACATTAAAATGTGAGCTTTAAAGGTTTTAAAGCATAAAAATGACATTTTTATGATTAAATATCAAAACTAAGTTCAAAATTATTGAAGATTTTTGACTGAAAACAAGTTAAAAGGGGTTTAGGAAAGGGTTTGCCTAGGCAAAAATAGTTGAGGATTGAGAAACCCTCAGGTATTGTGTCATATTTATAGTTTGGAAAGTAAAAATACATTTTTATCCTTTTTATTTTTTTTAAAACGGTATCATCTATCGATAGTTCGGTACTATCTATTGATAGATGAGCTTTAGAACCCTTTCTGAAAGCTTTTTGATTACCATCTATCGATAAATTTGTTTATCTATGGATAGATCTACTCATCTATCGATCTATCTCTAGATGTTCTTTAAGGCAGCTTTGATAAATCCTTTTTAGATTGTATCTATCGATAGAATCTATCGATAGATCATCTATGGATAGATTAGGTTTAAAAAGAAAATAAACTTTAGAAACATGTTCAATTATACTCCTTTTAATACAAA